CTTTTTGAGTGACACTCGTGTCAATTCATTTGTTGTCCATTCTGCTATATGTGTGCATCCATGGCGTAATGATGTCATTTGTTGTACGTTCATCAATAGAGAATATTCTATCCATTGTATATATGCATCGAATTCATGCTTCATATTACTCCATGACTCCATAATAAATGAATCCAATGACTTGTTGCCCATAGTCCAATTGATAGGTCGTGGTGCTTTACAACAATAACAGAATGCATTTATCTCAGGTACTAATCGCCATGTACACGCCAGACATAATCCATCCTCATAACAGTCTTTCATTAGACGATACTCTTGCCACCTTGCATCATATGTAAATCCGATGGTAATCCAAACATCTGTGGTAAGAATATCTGGATGCTCATCACATAATAATAACTAGTGGAAATAATACATAGTAATAAGTCAATAATTATTTAAACCATTCAATAAACATGCCGCATAAGTAAATAGTTTACCTCGGCATAATGTAAATCATGTGTCTCGTCTGTTATTTCAAGTGAAATCAATTTAACAGCTACACGATCAGCAATAGGTAAACCACCCAAGTATAAGCCATGTCCCTTATTATAATCAATACAATCGTATGGAATCCATTCCAAATAGGCGTCATTTGGTGAGTTTGTTTGTAATTGAGATTTCTTAATAACCTCATCAAGTAGCTTATCGTTGCTAGTCCATCCATCGGATAATTCTTTATGACCGCAAATGCACCACACAGGACTACATCGGAGTATGCCACATGCAGTGCAGAATCCATATCGAGAATAACAATGGTAAAACTTTCTATCAGCAACCATGTAATAGTTATCGTTATACTTGGTAAAACCCTTTATGAGTTTGTTGCGCATCCTAAGCCAGGTGGAATATCGTCTATATTGACTGACATCATTATTGTACCTGTGTGTCGGAAGTGAGTATATTCTGGCAAACTCACTCACAAGTGTTTGCGTACATTCTTCACTACTTCCAAGGAACACCAGTATTATCTTGTCGTAATGACAGCAACGAGCGTAGTAGACGTTGTCAATTTGAGTTGGCATTATGTTGGCGATTTGCGAGCAAGAAATCCATTCATGTTCATGTTCACTTTCACTTTCCAAGGAGGATTGAATCAAGCTGTCAATTGCTGGATTATTAACAACCCCTGGAGTTAATGACATCGTTTGAATTAAAAAATTATTTCAAGTGAACAAATCTTTCGCTTGTATTACATTGCATAGCCGTTATATTAATATTCTCATTGGTCAATCTTCAATTACCCCATTTATATCACCTGATGTTAATTCAAAAAAGCGCAATATTACGTAATCGTCAAGCTATATGTGAATAATCAAAGTAAGTGCTCTAATTAGACAACTTCCGCAAACCTACTTAAAAATCGAATTACGATTTAAAAGAAAAAGAATGACGATTTCAAAATTCTTCCATAGTTTTAATTCTTTATCATTTTTACTAGTATTAATAATTAGTATTTATAGAAAAGTGTCCTATTAATAAAGAACGAAATCATAGTAGTAGTAGAGAGTCGCGAGGATAGTGCGCTAACTATTTTTAATCTGGACGATCGCAGTCGTGTGCAATCATTTCGTCGACAATCATTTCACCGACAAATCTTCACCAACATTATTTCGAAGTTATCCTTTTTTGGTAGTTAATTGTCGGTGAAATGTACTGTCGGTGAAATAATTGTCGATGAAATAATACGGACCCGTGGTAGACGCGTATGTGAAAATCATATAAATTAAAAATTTGTTGTCGCTGAAGCATTAATATCGACCTCAAAGGCGTCGCTTACAAACCTTTGTCTTATTCATCATAAAAATGTCTGTAAACTCATTTGAATTTATGAGCATTGAGAAATTCGATGCCGTAGTTGAGCTTGCGGATATCGCGAAGGAAGTACATATGTACTATGATGCGATAATGCGATTGGCTAACTTCTGTTTATTTTCCTGAATGAATGTAGTTAGCAGTATTAGTGGTAGCTGTAGAATTTTACCATAAATGTAGGAGCAAAGAAATAATATGATGCTGGGACTCATAAATGGCCTAGGGTCCTCCCTCTTTGATAGTGTTATATATTTTGCTTGCTTCTCCACCATTTTTATTACTTATTTATTTAATAACAATTTCTTGATTGGCTAAGCCATGTATCGCAATAAATTTATTTTTTATGCAAATTATATTACATTTCGTGAGTGATTGTGAAATTTAAATTTTTACACAAAGACGAATTTGTATGTATTTTTGTAAGCAAAACCTCTCTAGTATCGGGCCACCTCGATTATCACGTGGCGCACATTTTTTTTTCAGTTTATAAAAGTTCCTCGCGATAGCTACTCCTCAGTTTACATCTATTTTTCTTACCGTCAATATCATTTTAGTACTTTGGCATAATGCAATTTTTCCCTTCCGCGAAGCCGAGAAATACTCTTCGTGTTTCGGTAGGCGGGTAAAACTGAGTAATGCTTCTGGCATTTAGTCGGTGTTGAGAAGCCGAGAAACATTTCTATGTTTCAGTAGGTGGATCGGGGCGGTTGCCAGGAAACCGAAAAAATATGCGTAACGCATGTTTCGTATGTTTCGTAGGTGGAGAAGCCGAAAAAACATGTGCAAACATGTTTCGTAGGTGGATTACTGGTGGAAACCGAAAAAATATGCTCTGCATATTTCGTAGGTGGAAAAAGACGAAATCGAAGCCGAAAAAAACACTGTTTTCGTAGGTGGAGATAGTAGTATGGGAACTTGTATTAACCAAATGTACTATTTTTTGACCTGACAAATACACATTCACGCCTCATCAAGATAAAGGTTATTGACCAAAACAGTATTAAAGAGGAACTCGAAAAGGGGTATTTATTGTTTCAAATAAAATATAAGATACATATATGCCAAACGTGTATTTTTTTATGTGAAGATTACAATTTTATTGATATATATATTTTTTAACATATAATCGAGAATTAGTTAATTGGCCGGCCAAAATAACAATGGATAGAAGTATGGGGCAAGAACGAATAAGCCAGGATCCTAGGCCCCTTTACATGTAGTAAAGTAATGGTGTTCCTTTCCCCGCTTCACACTAGCTAATCTTGATTTATTTCTTCTTCCTCCTCACTTTCCGGTTCAGTATCTATCACCCCATTCTGTTTTGATACCCATAACTTTAATGCGTCCAATGTCTTCTTTCGGATTTTTAGTCGTTTTTTTATGGAAATTCCTAATGGTGGCATCACTAATCGCTACCCCCCTCTTATGATTGATAACAAGGGTTAGGATTTCTTCGGGTACAGCCTTGCCATGGACCGTTTTTCGACACGCTTTTTCTCGTTGAATAATGCATCAATTTCTTCCCACAGTTCGAAAACGGTGCCATTATAATTTTGAGGCGGTTTGGATATACCAGATCCGGCATTACTACTTCTTGCGACCCCATCTCGAACTTCGCGAATGTCATAACCAAGATGTTTTGCGGCTTCTAGTTTGAAGAGGCAAAAAAGCCCCCTCCATTGGATATTTATACCTATGAACCCTTTTTATTCTCACCTTATCATAACGATCAAACCGAGTTGTAATAACTTACCATAGCAATCCATTTTCCTGGAGTATGGTTTTATTTTTTATCCATTCTTCATCAGTGTCAAGCCATATGGATTCGCCTGCATCTTCAAGTCTACGGCGTAAGATTTCTTCTCCTATCAATCTTTCCCGATGCGTCATTTCCATAAAATCGTGGGGATCGTTACCTTGTTCTATATTAAAGAGACAGGTATTTGCGTCAACATCTATCCTTGTGAGATAGTCTATTGAATCAGTTTTGTCTTTATCTGTAATGGTCACGAACTTATCGGGATCCTCATTATGATCTATAGCCCATTGCCTGAGACGTTTCTCCCGTTGCTCCCTGGTCTGATATCCGGGTGGATATGATATCTGCTGGGGGAATACTTCGTTACTGGATTTTGGTTCGTCGTTTGCAGGTAAGTCGGGAGAAATCTCTGGCTCATTTTCCACAGATCCAGCTTTATTGTTCACTGATGAGGTATGCCTCGAATCTCTGATTCCTCGATAATTTCTGGTGATTTATGTTTATCGTCTGATGGTTCTACGTGTTCGATCTCTGGAGTCATGGATATATCAGTAGACTTAGATGACGAAGCAACTGAATATTCTGGTTGATCTATTATTGAATCGAAGAGAGCTTGGGTCATTTTAGTAATAGGAGGGGTGAATACTATTTCCTTACCTTTTTCGATTCGATTGGTGGTTAATGAAATGGGATCTATTTTTTCTGGTTTCGGGATTGTGATTTCGGGTACATTAAATACGGGGATATCTGTGGAAGCATTGGTGGATGTCTCGGCTTGCATGCGTTCAAACAACTTCAAGACTGTGGTTGTTTAAAATGGAAGATTCGGATAATGGTCTTTATTTTGATATGGCATCCAAACTAGATCTTGCCAAATACGAAATTAGTATAACTGAACATGGAGGAGCGTCAGTAGAATTAAAAACATTAATAAATCAGGCAGTTTCAAAAGGTCTAATTCTTTATAGTAATATTGATTTTCTATCATATTCTCCAAACACCTCTCCATCGAATACCAAATTCTTTAATCTGTTTCTAGGATTCAAAGTTCGGCCATCATAATCAGTCGAGATAAATTTTGCTCTCATTGATCCGATCACTTGGCATATAGAAAACGTTTGGTGTAATGGGGATAAAAACCTCTCCGAATATGTTATCAACTGGTTAGCTTATCTTATACAATATCCAGAAAAAAAACCTGGAACTGTTTTAGTATTACGTTCCCCCCTCGTTCAGGAAAAAATATCTTAACTGATTTTATTGGTAAGGAAGACTTAGGACAAGAATTATTATTTGCATCATCAGATCTCGGAAAAATATTAGGACGATTCAATAGTTGCATCCAAGCTAGAAAGCTTATCCTTTTAAATGAAACAGGGATGGTATCGGAGAATGGCAAAAAGCTAATGACCACTTAAAATCTCTTATTACTGAGCCATATATAACTATAGAGCGTAAGGGGAACAATTAAAGATTTTGCTGGATATATGGTTCTTAGTAATCATGATGCCCCACTTCGTGTTGAAATGGGTGATGGGCGTATAGTATGCTTAGATGTGTCTTCTCAATGCAAGGGTAATATGGGATATTTTAAGCAACTTGGAAAAATTTTGGAACATCCTAATACACCTAGTAATTTCATGAGCTACTTACTTAAAAGAGATCTTTCAAATTGGATACCACAAGATATCCTGTTACGGTCGGGAATTAAATTGGGGTTTTTGGGAGAGCGATCTTTTTGTGTAGGTGTGTTCGCCGACCGGGGGATGTTACCAGGCTTAGCTCGTACTATCGCCCTTACTACGATAG